ATCTGCGTATTGCACAATGCACGACCTCACTTTACCCACAACAGCCACAAGTGCCATTGTTTATGTTGTTTCTATTGTTTATATTGTCTATACCGTTTATACAGATTACATATTATGTGTTTTTATACAGTGTAGCTGCTATCTGTTCTCAGCTGTGTGTGTTAATGCACAGCTTGTTTGCATGTTTGCACAGAGGATTGAGAGGAAGAAATTTCATCTATGCTGCATGTCAGACATAAAGCATATTTGACAATAAAGATGACATTGACCTTTACCTATTCAGTGACATTTTTGTAGGAGAATAATTTTGAGGGTCTCGTTTCAGCCTGAGCCCGAGTCCTGCGACAATGGCTGCTACTTTGCAGCACAAATGTTGGCATGGCCTTGTGGTGAAAACGAAAGATAAAGAAATGCAGTTTGGTCTCTCGACCCAAGTTGAAGTCCTGTCGACAGGACATGCAGTTTGGAGATTTGACATTAAAGATGCTGACTCTCTTCAAAAGAACCACAACATTTCAGAAACATTTTCTCCAAGAGGTGATCGTTGTCGGCAGGATTTGAACCTGCGCGGGAAGAACCCAATGGATTTCAAATCCATCGCCTTAACCACTCGGCCACAACAACACACTTATGTTCTTATCGGTGACATTTTTGGAGGAGAGTACTTAGTTTTGAGCACAGGATTTCTGAGACAATGGTGACAATTTTGCACCACAAATGTTGGTGTGGCCCCATGGTGAAGATGATGGATGAGAAATGCCGTTTGGTCTCTTGACCCAGGTTGAAGTCCTGTCGACAGGGAATGCAGTTTGGATGTTTGCCATTAAAGACGCTGACTCTCTTCAAAAGAACCACAACATTTCAGAAGAACTTTCTCCGCGAGGTGAACGTTGTCGGCAGGATTTGAACCTACGCTGGAAAATCCCAATGGATTTCAAGTCCATCTCCTTAACCACTCGGCCACGACAACTGATTCGATGTTTATTGGGTGACGTTTTTGTAGGATAATAATTTTGAGGGTCTCGTTTCACCCTGAGCCCGAGTCCTGAGACAATGGCGGCTATTTTTTACCACAAATGTTGGCGTGGCCCCATGATTAAAATGATGGACAAGAAATGCCATTTGGTCTCTCGATATTCTCACCGAGGTGATCGTTGTGGGCAGGATTTGAACATCCGCGGGAAGAACCCAATGGATTTCTAGTCCATCACCTTAACCACTGGGCCATGACAACACAGTTGTTTTTACGATAGGTGACATTTTCGTAGGAGAGTACTTAATTTTGAACTCCGTGCAGGAGTCCTGAGACAATGGTGGCTATTTTGCACCACAAATGTTGGTGTGGCCCCATGGTGAAGATGATGGATGAGAAATGCAGTTTGGTCTGCCGACGCAGGGTGAAGTGCTGTCGTCAGCGAATGGAGTTTGGCGATTTGACATGAAACATGCTGACTCTCTTCAAAAGTAGCAGAATATTTCAGAAAAATTTTCTCCACGAGGTGATCGTTGTTGGCAGGATTTGAACCTAAGCGGGGAAAATCGCAACAGATTTCAAGTCCATCACCTTCACCACTGGGCCACGACAACTGATTTGATGTTCATTCCTACACAGCCCTCCCCCTCCCCCACCTTGGTGGCTCAGACCACCACTGATGCTAATGCCAGCATACAAGCCACTGGTGAAAGTCATCAAACCAGTGAGGAAGCAGGTCCGAGTGTGGCCTGAGGGGTCCACAGAGGCACTCCAAGACTGTTTCTTCACCACAGACTGGAGTGTGTTTAAACATGCAACCACTAACCTCAACGAGTACGCGGAGACCGTCACGTCCTACATGAGGAAGTGCATGGATGATCTCACGGTCACCAGAACCATCACCATCCGGGCCAATCAGAAGCCATGGCTGACAGGTGAGGTCCACAGGCTCCTGAGGGCGAGGAACACTGCCTTCAGAGCTGGAGACATGGTGGACCTCAGGACTGCCAGGGCCAACTTGTCACGCGGCATCAGACTGTCCAAGAGACAATTTTCAAGGAGGATTGCGGACCAGTTCAAGGACCATAGAGACACCAGGAACCTGTGGCGGGGGATCCAGACCATCACGGACTACAAGCCCTCTCTCGCACACCTGCGACAGCTCCATCTCTCTGCTGAACAACCTGAACAACTTCTTCGCCCATTTTGAGATAGACAACAACACCCCAGCACAGAAGACCCCACCTCCTCCCGGTGACCAGGTGCTGACGCTTTCTCAGGATAGTGTGAGACGTTCCCTCAGAAGAACAAACGTATGGAAAGCGGCAGGTCCTGACAACATTCCTGGTCGTGTCCTGCGAGATTGTGCTGAGGAGCTCACAGATGTTTCACAGACATCTTGAACACCTCACTGAGCCAGGCTGGTCTCCCCACTTGTCTCAAAGCCACCACCATCATCCCGGTCCCGAAGAAGTCGTCCCCCTCCAGCTACAACTACTACCGCCCGGTCGCACTCACCCCCATCCTCATGAAGTGCTTCGAGCGGTTAGTCATGCAGCACATAAATTCTGCCATCTCCCCCACCCTGGACCCCTACCAGTTTGCATATCGGCAGAACAGATCGACTGCAGACGCCATCTCCACCGCCCTCTACTCAGCCCTCACCCACCTGGAGACCAAGGACTCACACGTCACAATGCTGTTCATCGACTTCAGCTCAGCATTCAAGACATTTACTCCTACCGTCTCATCCGCCAAGCCATCCGGATTGCAGGTGACCCCACCCAGCCATCTCACAGCCTCTTCGGCCTGCTGCCATAGGGAAGGAGATTGAGGAGTCTCCGTGCTGGAACCAGCAGGCTCAAGAACAGTTTCTTCCACCAGGCGGTCAAGAGACTCAACTCCCTCCTTGTTCTGCCCGCACTCCCCGCCCTCTGCCTCTGCCCTACCCCTGCCTCCTGTCATAGACTATGACCCTCCCCTCATCATCCGACATCTGCGTATTGCACAATGCACGACCTCACTTTACCCACAACAGCCACAAGTGCCATTGTTTATGTTGTTTCTATTGTTTATATTGTCTATACTGTTTATACTGTTCAGATTACATATGATGTCTTTTTGTACAGTGTAGCTGCTATCTGTTCTTAGCTGTGTGTGTTAATGCACAGCATGTTTGCATGTTTGCACTGAGGATTGAGAGGAAGAAATTTAATCTATGCTGCGTGTCAGACATAAAGCATATTTGACAATAAAGATGACATTGACCTTGACCTATTCAGTGACATTTTTGTTGGAGAATAATTTTGAGGGTCGCGTTTCACCCTGAGCTCGAGTCCAGAGACAATGGCAGTTATTTTGAGGCACAAATGTTGGCGTGAACCCATGATTAAAATGATGGACAAGAAATGCAGTTTGGTCTCTCGACCCAGGTTGAAGTCCTGTTGACAGGGAATGCAGTATGGAGATTTGACATTTAAGATGCTGACTCTGACAAAGAGAAGCACATTTCAGAAAATGCTTCTCCGAGAGGTGATCGTTGTCAGCAGGATTTTAACCTACGTGGAAGAACCCAATGGATTTCTAGTCCATCGCCTTCACCACTCAGCCACGACAACACAGTTGTTTTCGCTATAGATGACATTTTTGTAGGAGAGTACTTAATTTTGAGGGCCGTGCAGGACCCCTGAGACAATGGCGGCTATTTTGCACCACAAATTTTCTGCTTGGCTCTCGACGAAGGCGGACGTTTTTTGCTCTGCTCCTGTCCCCCCTGCTTCCCCCTCGGCTGCCGGGTATACCCTAGATCCTGGAGGAAGCGGAGAATGGTGTGCCTGTCAATACTGTCCGTTGAGGAGGAGGAAGACATCTACATTATTGGCCTTCTGATAGCAGGTATGCTGCTGTTTGGTGTTAGCAGTTTCCTGATCTATCGCAAAATTCAACCGACGGGAGCGGCTTTATTGGAAGTAGAAGCTGCCGGTCTTTTTGGGATGGCACGGCGCGGATGTACAACACTCAGACTCAAGTGATGACTGAGCTCAACCGCAAATGGATGCGGTTTTGGAGCGTCTCCGTATGATGGTTATCAACTGGAGAAATTGAATCTGTGCATCGGAAAGTAATGGCGGATTTGGCTGATCGGCGCCAGTGAAGGTTTACAGCCACGGACTCAAGGCCACCTGAAATTGTTGGCCGCCGTCCCTCCAAAACAAACAACGCTATTTGGAATCTTTCCCCTGGATGGAAGTACGCACGGAAGCTAGTGACCCCACCATCGCCCCCTCCTTCTCGGCCATGTACTGATAAGCCGGGACTGTCTCCATGAGCAGACCTTGACGAAGCAGCTGTGGCCTTGACGCACACACAACCAGACTATCACACGCGCATAGACATCCTTATCATCACCGCCTTCATCGTTCCTTTTTTTTTTTTTCTCCGTGACGTGACTTGATCTGCTGTGCGCTAGACGGACTGGCAGCACGCCGGTCGGGCCGCGTCGCGCTCCCCCTCCCCCCCCACCCCATCCATGCGCCCCCTCATTACATGTTATGTCTTGTGACTTGTAACTGTCATATGCTTTGATGTGCATCGGGTATTTTTTTCTCCTAGACTTAAATTATCCTCAGAAGAGGATAGTTCGAGCATGGGCTTTTTTTTCCCCTCGCATTCCCTTGTGTTTACTTTCTAAGTAAGATCTTGGGGCGCTGTACATATGGCGAGTACCGACAGGCCCTTCGCACTGTATCCCATGTTCGTCATTGTTTTTCATGTTTCTTGTGCAGAGCGTGCCTGTTAAGTCCAGTTACCCCATGGGGATAAATAAAGTTTCCTGAATCTGAATCTGAATCTGAAAATGTTGGTGTGGCCCAATGATTAAAATGATGGACAAGAAATGTAGTTTAGTCTCTCGACCCAGGTTGAAGTCCTGTCGACAGGGAATGCAGTTTTGAGATTTGACATGAAAGATCCTGACTCTGTCGAAGTGGAGCACAACATTTCAGAAAATGTTTCTCCGAGAGGTGATCATTGTCGGCAGGATTTGAAACTATGCGGGGAAAATCCCAATGGATTTCAAGTCCATCGCCTTAACCACTCGGCCACGGCAACTGATTTGAGATCTATTGGGTGATGTTTTTGTAGGAGAATAATTTTGAGGGTCTCGTTTCATCCTAAGCCCGAGTCCAGAGACAATGGCAGTTTTTTGCACCACAAATGTTGGCGTGTCCCCATGATTAAAATGATGGGCAAAAATGCAGTTTGGTCTCTCGACCCAGGTTGAAATCCTGTCAACAGGGAATGCAGTTTGGAGATTTGACATTCAAGATGCTGACTCTCTTCAAAAGAACCACAACATTTCAGAAAATGTTTCTCTGAGAGATGATCGCCGTCAGCAGGATTTGAACCTACACGGGAAGAACCCAATGGAGTTCTAGTCCATTGCCTTAACCACTTGGCCACAACAGCACAGAATTTTCACTATAAGTGACATTTTTGGAGGAGAGTACCTAATTTTGAGCGCAGGATTCCTGAAACAATGGCGGCTATTTTGCACCACAAATGTTGGTGTGGCCCGATGATTAAAATGATGGACAAGAAATGCAGTTTAGTCTATCGACCCAGGTTGAAGTCCTGTCGACAGGGAATGCAGTTTTGAGATTTGACATGAAAGATCCTGACTCTGTCGAAGAGGAGCACAACATTACAGAAAATGTTTCTCCGAGAGATGATCGTTGTCGGCAGGATTTGAACCTACGCGGGAAGAACCCAATGGATTTCAAGTCCATCGCCTTAACCACTCGGCCACGACAACTGATTTGACGTTTATTGGGTGACATTTTTGTAGAAGAATAATTTTGAGGGTCTCAGCCTGAGCCCGAGTCCTGTGACAATGGCTGCTACTTTGCAGCACAAATGTAGCATGGCCTTGTGGTGAAAACGAAAGATAAAGAAATGCAGTTTGGTCTCTCGACCCAAGTTGAAGTCCTGTCGACAGGGAATGCAATTTTGAGATTGGACATCAAAGATCCTGATTCTGTCGAAGAGGAGCACAACATTTCAGAAAATGCTTCTCCGAAAGGTGATCGTTGTCGGCAGGATTTGAACCTACGCGGGAAGGACCCAATGGATTTCAAGTCCATCGCCTCAACTACTCGGCCACGACAACACACTTGTGTGCTTATCGTTGACATTTTTGGAGGAGAGTACTTAATTTTGAGCGCAGGATTTCTGAGACAATGGCGGCTATTTTGCACCACAAATGTTGCTGTGGCCCATGATTAAAATGATGGCAGTTTGGTCTGTCCACCCAGGTTGAAGTCCTGTCGACAGGGCATGCAGTTTGGAGATTTGACATTGAAGATGTTGACTCTGTAGAAGAGGAGCACAACATTACAGAAAATGTTTCTCTGAGAGATGATCGTTGTCGGCAGGATTTGAACCTACGCGGGAAGAACCCAATGGAGTTCTAGTCCATCGCCTTAACCACTCAGCCACGACAACACAGTTGTTGTTATTGTAGGTGACATTTTTGTCCGAGAGTGCCTAATTTTGAGGGCCGTGCAGGAGTCCCGGGACAATGGCTGCGACTTTGCACCACAAATGTTGGCGTGGGCTCGTGGTGAAAACGAAAGACGAGAAATGCAGTTTGGGCTCTCGACCCAGGTGGAAGTCCTGTCAACAGGGAATGCAGGTTGGAGATTTGACATGAAAGATGCTGACTCTGACGAAGAGAAGCACATTTCAGAAAATGTTTTTCTGAGAGGTGATCGTTGTCGGCAGGATTTGAACCTACGCGGGAAGAACCCAATGGATTTCTAGTCCATCGCCTTAACCACTCGGCCACGACAACACACTCGTTTTGTTATAGGTGACAATTTTGTTGGAGAAATTTCTTCCCTGTCAGTGCAAACATGCAGGGGCTCCGTCGTACAAATAGTTCCTGGACTGATATCACAAAAGATTCAATTGAAGCACAAACTCGGAGTAATTATCTGGGAGTAAATCAGAGTGCCCTTGTTGATTAACCCCCCCCCCTTCTTTTTTCCATTTTTGGTTGGGTGGATGCCACACAGCCATCAATTTTTTTTTACAACCAACTAGTCATACTGCATTCTAAAAAAAAGCTTCAATACATCAATAATATTTTGCAGTTTTATTTTTCTGCCCACTGTTAGGAGCTTATACGTTTAACCAGGTCTCATCTCTTCAGTAAAATAGAAATTACATGGCTCATATAATCCTATTATCAAGTCGGATTCTTGTCCCTCTGGCACACAAACACCGACAAAATAGCATATTTGTTCATCAGGATTTTGGTTTTTACTGATAATTCATCATTTCGATTAAATGCAAACACTTTTTAAACATGCAGCAGAAAGTAGTTGAAGTGCTCAAGGAGCAGTCCAGACACCTTAAATGCACAAACATATTTATGATGGAAAACTCTTTCTGACACAAGATCGCGACAGAGCGTTTCGATCAAGAATCGGCAAACGTCAACTATAAGATGCACAGGAGACCATTTGAATGCTTAAAAGACAGTATAAGTTTTTTGTTGCTTTCTTTTTCTTTTTTTCTTTTCTTTCAAGCTTTGCATGTGGCAAGTCCGTAACCCAGGCAAGCCCACTCGTTGGTCATCTCCATGAATCCAGGTCCGCTGGCCAGTCCGCTAGCTGAAGGAAAAATGAAAACACATTAGGGTTAGCATGGTATTGCTTAAAATGTCTCTCCCTTGCATGTGAGTGGCTAACCTGAGAGCAGATCGTACAGGTTGCAATAGTTGAGGCCGTTGTCCAGAAGGCTGGTGAATCCCAGAGAGGTGGACTGGCCCTGTGTACAACCCCCCACAAAAACACTCATTGTCAAACATTTAGCCTGTGATCACCAAAATGATCTCCAAACACTTGAATATTATTGCAACTTAATCTAACGTCGTCACCCTAGACAGCTTACAGATGACTGCGTTTCAGAGGAAACACTCTGCTCACAACCAAGACTGAACTTAGCTCCTCCCTGACACAGAGCTTGTCTCTCGGTCAAGATATATCATTCATATATACTCCCTTGATGCCAATTTCTGTATAGACAATGTTAAGTAGGGTGTTTCGGAAAGACCACAACAACTGCAAATTTTCAGCAAAACAATTTCAAGACAAGTGCGGAGCTACGTGGAGACACAAGTAGTCTCTTGACACCATCTTGTGGCATGTAAAGACGATTACAAATGGCATTCATGACTACAAGACCACACAATGTAATAAGAGTGGGTGGACGTACGGACACCCTGCATCCTCCGGTCATGAGAGTGGAGCTGAAGGTGAAGGTGATGTTCTCAACCGCCAGGCCGTCGATGGAACTGTGGTTAGCGATGAGGCCCAAAGGAGTGCCGGCTACCAGCTGGAGGAACGATTGGAATGTTTAAATCTGTGGAAATGTCATTTGATTTGGATTTCTTGCCACGTTTTCTGATGGGGCGTCCAAATTGCTCTCATGGACCGTCACATCAAGAAAAATGGAAGAAAGATGATGTGTTTTTGGGAAACATACGAAAACCAATGCAAAACTGCATTCTGGCGGTCAACAAAGCACGTGTTGTGGTTTAAAAAAGGCATGATGTCTTTTCTATTGTTCTTTGAGCTGACAATATTTTTTTAACATTCAAGTTTAAAAATGTTAAAATGTAGTGTGATATTGTGTTGTTACAAATTCGATTCTCTTTCATCCATCCATCCATTATGGGTGCCACTTCTCCTCACGAGGCTCGCAGCTGTGTTGGAGCCTATCCTAGCCGCCTTCGGGCAGCAAGTACACCCTGAACTGGTTGCCAGCCATTCACAAGGCATACAGAGACGAACCACCATCCACGGTCACACTCACACCAAGCGACAATTTAGAGTGTTCCATTCACCTGCCATGCATGTGTTTGGAAACCGCAGTACCCGGAAAAAAACCCACATAGGCACAGGAAGAACATGCACACTCCACACAGGAAAACCGGGGCCTGGAATCTAACCTATGATCTCTTCACTGCGAGGCAAACATGCTAACCAGCCTCTTCGATTCTTTTTTTCATTTTTAATTATAAAATGGTGTGACAAATTTCCATTTCATTCAAAAAAAACCTCGAAAGTACTTCGAGCAGAGGTGAGCAAACTACGGCCCGTGGGCCAAATGCAGCCCATTGGTCTCTTTAATCCGGCCCGCCGAAGGTTGGTACACAATTAAGGTTCGATGTAAATGATTGCATTCATTTCATTTGGACTTGTAATGACAGGCATTTCAACGCCAGGTGGCGCAGTTACTTGAAGTTGCAGAGCACAGGGAGGGAGGGGGAGGCGGTACGGAAGCCCGCAGTAGTGCCAACTCAAGCAACTCCGGCTCGATACGACGGAATAAGTGTGTCGGCGCTGCTATTTTCTGTCATTGGATCCAAAACAGTGACATGCAAGTTACTCTTTGTTGCAGTGAGTTTTACTGTAATTGCGAACATTTTTACGTCCTGTCGATCATGGCATGATCAATGAAGAGGAACAGTAATGGCCACGGAAGAGAAAGTGAAGTTTACCTGATTAAACGAAGCGGGTTACAAAGTACGAAACATTCAGGAGACGCTGGGAGTCTGAAAGACTCAAATGTACGAGACTTTGAAAAACGAGAAAGCGATTCTTGCTCAGTCCGATTCTGGCTATTTCCATGCCCAGAGTGAATTGCTTGCGGCTCGACGGACAGTCTAGTAAATAAATGTTTCCTGGAATGGTTTGACTGTTATCGTGCTAAAAACTTTCCGCAAACTGGACCGCTAAAAAGAGAGGAAGCGAGTCCCAGAGCGCTAACTATGAGCATCGAAGACTGTGAAGCGTCCCGTGGCTGGCTTCAAAAGTTCGTTGCGCGACATCAGCTGAGCAACGCTGTCATGTGTGGTGATCGAGGGGAGGTCAAGTCAGAGACAATGAGTGAGTGGAAAGAAAAAACACCAGGTCTCTTACACGTCTCATTTTGTAGCAAATAGTCCTAACTTTGTTATATTTTGTCATATACTGTACTTGTACTGTGTGCTGCAGTTTTTGGCCAATATATTGTTGTACTTTGTTGCTTGTGTTGTCACATGTATGTTGTTAGCATACTTGGATGTTCATACAGGACATATACCATAGTTGTTTCACTGTTCTCATTAAAAAAGAAAAAGTATGGGAATACTTTTATGCTTTTGTTCTGTTGATGTTTGGTGTGGATTGTCAACATACATTTTTCTTATATGTACCGTATCTTGTCCTGACCCGGCCCACCTGTCAAATTTAGAAATCAATGTGGCCCCCGAGCCAAAAAGTTTGCCCACCCCTGATTTAGAGTCATGTCTTGTAAAATTTAACTCTTCTGTTTTTAAATTGTCATGAGTTGAATAAAAATAGCCAATATCACGTAACATACAAAGTACAGGATGTTAAAAAACTCGTATGATCTTAACTCTATTTTTATTTTTACAATTTAAAATCAGTTCACAAAACGTTCAAAGTACATATTTTTAATATAAAAAAAATACTGTGCGATCTTTCAAAAAACTCGGAAATTTTTTTCATACCGGTAAATTTCAGCTTGCAGAGAGCCGTAAATGGTATTTTCAACACACACGTGTGAAAACAAGATTACCATGTAGTGACACTTTTTGCAGCCAAACATGGGGTTGAAGGCTTGGATCTGCTGCATCAATTTGGTGCTGACCTCTGCACACGGTGAAGAAAATAGCCTAAAGGTACACAGACGATATCACATTACGTGTGTGTGTGTGTGTGTGTGTGTGTGTGTGTGTGTGTGTGTGTGTGTGTGTGTGTGTGTGTGTGTGTGTGTGTGTGTGTGAATGTACATGCAAACTGTGCAAAGGGAGGCCGGAACCAGAATCAAACTCTGCAGCTCTGCAGTGTGAGGCCGACGTGCTAACCAGTTGACTACCATGCCACTTTTTGTATGTATACGCACGCACACACACACACACACACACACACACACACACACACACACACACACACACACACATAAAATGAGTGACATTGGGCATCTAGATAAAATATCAACCTGAAATGCACTCTCACCTTTAGAGGTCAACTTAGTTTGACCTTCTCTGTACTTTGGAATGTAATGCCTTTGTCTTGCTCAGGTCTTCCGTACTTTTCCACAACGTATTGCTCTCGAACAAGGAACTGAATTGCAACATTGCAGAGACAACCACTCCTATGCCTTTCTGTGATTCTTCCAGTTACTCTTTTGCAAAATGCTAAGCTGAGTGGCCACATTGAAATGGTGAGCTTCAGTTGATCAATTCTTGATCAAAAGTGATGTCTTTGTCACATGATGTGAAAAGGTGAACAGTATAATTCCAACTGAGAGACACAGTGACTGGAGGAGTCACAGAAAGGCACGAAAGTGGTCTTCGCTGGATTCTTTTTTTTTTTTTTTTTTGCTGTTTCTCAAAAGTTTAGAAAAGCTCAAATGAAGTTGACTATTTAAGGTTTTAGATTCATCCTGCAATTTCACGTTCGCGATCAGTGCATATTCTGTAAATAGCGTACATATTGATAATACATAGTAAGTTTTACCAGAGAGTTCTGCAGAAGGCGTGGTAGGGCACAGGAACAGGCATGGCGGCTGCAAGGGCGACGAGTCCAGCGAGTAGAATGAGAGTCTTCATGGCGGCAGGTGGAGGCGTTTCTTGCTCTTCCTGAGCTCAAAGAGAATCTGCGCTTGGACAAATGCCGGCCAGATGTTTCTTATAAAGCCGTTTGATGCAGGCTCACGCGCTCGGCTCAATGACGGCCTGCTAATAGATTAAGCACGCAGTTAGTTACAGTATTATTATTAATAAATGACCTGACATGGAGATCGTCTTTTATCTCCAACTCTCTGTCTTACATTATCTCTGCATAAACATGCAAGGTAGGTTAATTGGACGCTCCAAATTGTCCTGAGGATTGTGATTATGAGCAGGAATGGTTGTTTGTCTATGTGTGCTCTCCGATTGGCTGGCAACAAGTTACGGGTGTATCCCGCCTACTGCCCGAAGACAGCTGGGATAGATGGATGGATTATTAGGCATTCTTTTCTGTACCCGGTATATAATCTGATCCATTTAATGTTCTGGTTAAAATTTTATATGAATGTTCTGCTCATTTTCATCAGAATCAGAATCAGAATCCGAATCATCTTTATTGGCCAAGTATGTAGAACACACAAGGAATTTGTCTTCAGTATAACACGCTGCATTAGTATCATCATAAACAAGGACATGACAAATAAATATGGAAAAATTAAGTATGGAAGGACATTTCGTAATGTAAGTGAACCGTCGTGCGGTGGTACCACCCTGTGACAACTGTGAGACAATGTGCAAAGTATCAAGCAGAGCGAAAGTGATCAGTGGTAGAATACAATACTATAACAGTTGTGCAGTTGGTGCAGAAAATCATTGAACCATTTTAAAGTGACCAGTAGCAGTATTTGTAGGACAAGAAGTGTGCAATTGTGCAGATGTCCTTGAGCGCTTTGAAGTGTCTGGTGCGGTGGAGTATACGTCAGTGACTGTTTAGGGAGTTAAAGCTAGACGAAAGAAGCTGTTCAAGTGTCTGCTGGATTTGGTGCGCATGGATCGGTAGCTCCTGCCTGAGGGGAGTAGCTGGAAAAGGTGGTGGGCAGGGTGCGGGGGATCCAGTAGAATTTTCCGTGCATGTAATATTTTATGGTTTATGTTAATTTTCCTGTCTGTAACTTGTAATGTTGCAAGTTGATTTTTGTGGCAAAGCATGTGTATGATTTCATCCATCCATCCATTTTCCAGTAAGCTTTATCCTCACAGTGTCGTGGAGGTGCTATAGTCTATCCCAGTTGTCTCCAGGCAGTAGGCGGCGGCCTGAACCAGTTGCCAGCCAATCGCAGGACACACAGAGACGAACAACCATCCATGCTCACACTCACACCTAGGGACAATTCAGAGTGTTTGTATGATTTCAATGTAATTGAATTCATTTATTCATTTAGTAGTTTTAATTTAACATTTTTACTGAACTTTGTCATTTCTGTAACGTTGTGTTTGTTTTGACTGTAGCAAGAGTACACTTTTGGTGAATCACATTTACATTCGGATGCGGATCAATGAATTTAATCCTCCAAAGTTTGAGTTTTGTTCTTTGCTCTATGCTGTGGCATGGGCATAATTTCATTACATTTATGTTAACGTCTGCCAGCCCCCCACCCAAAAAATTCCAAAATGGCACAGTAAAGGATATCTTAATCTAGTACAGTATAGTAGTAAATTATCCTAAGTATAAATTGAAATGAATTGCACTCTTGCTCCAATTGTCTTTGTATTGATGAATGTATTTTTGAGGTTGTAAGCG